GTTCCCTGCCTCCACACAGGCCACTGCCTCAAAACTCCTGTTTCCAGCGAGGCAAGAAAAAACCATTCATCATACTCCCCAGGCTGACTGAGCCTAGAGTAACTGAAATGTAGTTGAGCAGCGTGCATGCTAATACTTACTTTAATAGGAGCACATAGAAAGAAATTCACTGTGACTCCAGACCACGCATGGTCTTGAGAACTGGGGGCTTAAGAGAAGGTGACTAGAGGATGACTTCCTAAAACACAGGGAAGGGATCAGAGAAGGAACGGAGTCAGGAAGGACTCAGAATGCCTCTTGAATAGATTTCCCAGGGCTGGATGCTAAGTCAGGTTTCTGGTAGTTACCAAGGACATATAAATTATCTAAATAAGTTTTCAGTGACCAGAGCAACTAGAATTCAGCTCCTACAAGGCTGAAGAGAGACACAAAAGGCAAAACTGGGAAGGAGAATGGAGATGCCTGACTTCATGCTGTTTGTGTCTCTGGAAAAACAGAAAGGTCAGGACTGTACCTGAGATCACCTCTTCTGAGGCAGTGCGTGTGCATTGTCTTCTAGCCTGGTGACACGATTCACCTGAGCTTTGCGAGTCAGTCATTAAATGCAGCCATTTTTGAAAATTAAATTATGTAAACTTACAATTAAATAAGTTATATGAAACAAAGGAGATCAGCACTCAAAACTCATCGCTTCCTAATTATTTTACTATAGTTCCCCTTGTCTCCACACTTGAGGTTATTGACGGCTACGGTATCTGCACAGTGGAAACACTCTACTGTGGGGTGTCACTGCTCACCCTCCCAACTTCACGCCAGGAACTCAGGTGGGTAGCCTGAAATCAGCCAGGGTGGGAGAACTTACATCACAGAAACGGTAAAAGCTATAAATCAAGGCTTCCCTGCCTCCTATGCACCCCCACCTGCGCCCCAAGGTCACTGTTAAACATTTACCACTACAAGTGTTTCATTCCAACTCTAATAGGCCTTCATGGAGGAGAAGTGGCAAACGACCAAGGTGTCCCTGAAGCAAAATCCTAGGAGCAGAAAGGCCCCTCCCTGCTCACCCAGCTGTGGTGATTGCAATAATGACGACTGCCATCCAGCCCGGGATGGAAGAGCTTCCCGGGCTTCCCTGGTGAGTCACCCTAGCAGGAATCTGTCTCCAGAGTCTCTCTAAAATCTCTCTTACTGCTTATTAGTGAGCTTTTCTTGCCAGAGCCTCACTGTTCTCACCCTTTAAGTGAAGGCTAAGTCTGAGCATGATTCCCTGGTTCCTGGAATGGAGAAGGTGATGTCATTGATGTCATTCGACACAACGTGTACATGTGGCCAGCTGGCTGCCTCCTTCCCTCACCACCCTGCAAGAGACTGAGCTGGGGGGTCCTTAGACTGGGAGGGCCCTCCCCAAGTCATCGTAGTCAGTCCTCTGCCTTAGGGCAAAAGTGTGCCAGGCCCATTGCCCTGCCAAAGATCTAACTCTCTATCTAACAAGTCATCTCATAGGTGCTAATAATGTGTGCAAATAAATGAAGGGGTGGATGGTTCCTGCATTTCTCCCCTCCCCTCACTGTTTAACACCCTCATGCCTTGTATCCCCATCTATCCCTAAGAACCTCAAGACATTTGTCCCTAGGTCCCTCTGTGCCACCATTGTCTCTCTCTCTTCTTCCACAGGTCTGCCAAGGCAGTGCCAGCAGTGCCACTACCCTTTTGCAAATACCCGAGCCAACCAGAAGGGCCTCCTAGTTGTCTATAACTAAGCAGGGCCTCTAGGCTTCCTCAGTTACGAAACTTGAAACCCAGATATTTTGAGGCCCATTGTACCCATACTTCATGTGGCCCCAGCGTAGGAGCAGGAAGAATTAGGAAGCCCAGTTGTACCTCAAGAGAAAAAGAGGCAAAGAGAGAGGGAAGTGCTTGGGCTCTCAACAGGCGGGTGGCTGGGCGGGGGTAGGAGGAACTGAGTGGCTATGAAGTACCATGCCCTTTGGAAGACCCTCAAGCCCTGGACCCGACACAGGGGCCGCTGTGGGCCCGCGGCAGCCCCCTGGCATGCAGTACAACCACTGGTCCACTAGAGGCAGTGGAACTGGAAATGCGACGTTTAGGGCTCCCTAAGAGTAGACCTTGGACCAAGGGATAAATGCTCTGCGAGGACCAAACTTGTGTTCAATAGAAGAAACATATCTCTGATGGTGAGAGGCTGAAGGGACTGCACTGGGAGATAGATAGGATGATGCCAGTAAAGGTACTCAAGGAGAGGTTGGCACAGCCTTTGGTAGGGATGCTGTAAAAAGAATTCAAAAATCAGAGAAACAGCCTGATGCCTTAGAGTCAAACATGCCTGGATCAAAACCCGAGTTAGTGCCTGCGTGGCCTTCGTCAACATACCTAATCCCTCTGAACCTCAGTTTCCTCATCTGTGTAATGGGATAACGCACAACCTCGGGACTAAAGTAAGGATTAAATAAGACAAAATGCCAGAAACACCTGGCACTTAGTGGGTGCCCAATAAATGTCAATCCCTTTTCCATTAAGAGGGGGGCTAGGTTAGGCGACCTTGAAGGTCTTTCTACCCCAGAGTCTGACTCTGACACCCCTCCCCCTTGTTGAGAGAGAAGGCTACGTCTGGGGGAGATAAGAAAGTCGGGGTTGGGTAGATGACCGCAGCGGGAGGAAGGATGCTAGAATGGTCTGGGAACATTCAGAGAGGTCACCCCTGCGAGCCCCTTGTTTCCCCTCTTCTGACCTTCCGGAATAAAAGAGAAAGGGGGGTGCTGGATTTTAAACCAGCCTGAGGGGGTCTCAGTTTCCCCGCCCGTGTGCTGAAGGAGCAGGTTAGCCAGCCCTCCCCGCGCTGCCCGCTGCCCATCCACAGGGGAAAGGGCACGGGAGGGACGCAGGGCGACGGGGAGCAGCGGCCCTCGGAGCGAAGCAGAGCCTCGGCCCACGCGGGCCAGCCCTCCGTGGAACCACAGCCTCTGTCGTACGGTTTATTTATTGTGCGAAAACTGCCGCCTCGGAGCTCAGGTCGCACGCAGCACAGTTCGGTCCGGAGCCCGCGCGCCC